AAGTTTAAAGTTCTGTCTTTTACTAGGACGCAAAATGTAATACATTATGATTATAGTATCAATGATCACTTACTCGAACGAACAAAAACGTTCAAAGATTTGGGTGTTGTATTCGATGCCAGGCTGACATTCAAGGATCAGATCACTCAAATGGTGAATTCAGCATTTAAGATGCTAGGCTCTTTTGTAGGCAATTGGTCAGGATTTTCAAACATATCAACTCTAAAGCGTTTGCATTTTACATTTACGAGTATTAGAAGTAAGCTGGAATATGCTTCATTGATTTGGTCTTCAATCTACAACAATTCAAGGGTTAGTATTGATTATGTGCAGCGTAGGGCTTTAACGTATTTGTTATGGCAATTATCCTGAAAGAGGTTTCGACCATTCTATTTGATTAAACATTTCTGTTATGGAGTCATTGCATCTTAGACGCGACATATCAGCGCTACATCTTTTGTACAAAATCATACACAATCAAGTTGATTGTTCATTCATATTAAGTAAGCTTAATTTTCGTGTGCCTAGGTTTGGAAATCGTGTTCTAATCACTTTCTATCCGGTTATTGGTAATACTAATTTAATGTCTAGATCTCCGGTAAATATGATTTGGACATATTTCAATTCTGTTTGCAGTTCCTGTGACTTATTTTTTGATACTGAGAACTTTGTTATGAAGTGCTACAGAGACTGGTACCTTTGTCAGTGAGAGTTTGTTTTTTCTTTTTTTTTAATTTTTTTTTGTGTTTGGCATTACTGCTGTTGCTAATTATGTAACTTTTTCTTGCATTTTTGCTGTAATTGGGTGTTACCTGTTAGGAATAAATAAATAAATAAATGAAAAGGACAACTAAATTTGACCATATCCATGATTGATGGTATCGTAAAATAGGGTGTCCATAAAATACTCAATAAAAAACCAGAATATGTTACGGACTCGTTTATTGTTCTTTAAGTACAACAAACAATTTTATTAAAACTAGTAACTTCAGGGAATTAAGATTTAATAATTATATTAAAACAATCTCAAATTGCACGTGTTATAGATAAAATTGATGAACGTATCAGATATCACAAATTAAGTTATCACCTCGGGTGTCCTTTATTTAACGTATAACCTGATTATGAAATAAACATTTTTAGATAGGTAAAATAATTTAGTACTTTAATAGACCAAAACAATATTTTAGTTGGCATTACTTGTAAATACGTTAATGATAATGTAATGTAAGAGTGAAGTACTAACCTGTGAAACTCGTCCCTTTTTCCACACCTTTTGTGACGGTTTGATCGGTATTTGAGTGACCTGCATAGTACTCGAGTACCATTCAGTCCTAAAATCTTTTATTCTGACTTCCTTCCTTACTCGGTAACAAATTATTAGAATTTTCACTTCGAAAAAAATCTTTGTTATTAAGGACCGCCGTGTTGAAATGTAAGCAAAGCACTTCCCGTGCCTGTATCGGTAATTAACGTAATTAATTTACGATTTGATCAAACATTTCATTAAATAGCCACGCGCTTAGCTGATCATGTTGATGAAATATTTGATATCATTCATCTGGATAAAAGATGATACATTTCATGAAATGGGACCACTTCTGGAAATGCGACCAGTTCATGAAATGGTTAATTTTACGACATGGCAACGAGTTGTACGCTCGTTGATTTGTCCGGCACGTCTATATCGAAGAGATATCTTTATCATTCTAGTTTCAAGGGCAAATGTACTGGGAAATCTATTATGTATAAAATATGTCTATTAGGTGAGCAGAATTACGGAGACTGGAAACGTATAAGTTGCTAGCACCAAAAATTTGACATATACCCTCCCCGGCACATCCATTTCTAAGCTCCTGAATTTTTTTTTTCTGAAAATGATGAGGATCCTCTGAAACGTCAAAAAACGAATTTTGAGCGATTTATATTTTTTCATGTTTGCTGGCCTTTTTCTCCGCTGCCAATGAAGCGATTTACAAAGGTTATAAATATTTGTTGTCCTCGACATAATAGCAGCTCTGTGTAAAATTTCATCAAAATTCAAGGGGTACTTCCCAAGTCATAAAGGGCCAAGCATTAGCGTACTAACAGACGGAAATGTTTTTGTGATTACAGTTCTTCCTCGTCAGTGGCGTAGACAGTAAAAGTTGGTCTTCAATGTACCAACACAGCGGAGCTTAAAAATGAGTTCAATGAGTCGTAAAACTATTCAGCAGCAGCAATTATCGCAATTCGCACGTGCTTGAATCAATCACTTATTATCTAATTTACAAGAACTATATACATTCTTTAGATTCAAACATATTTTAGACCTAATTATTGTCGAATAGTGTTGAATCAGTTGTCTGAATCATGATAGAAGCGTTACCTTAAGTCGCGATAGCATATTTGTTTATAATTAGTTTAGATTAATCGTCCACAGTGATTGCTTGTGATATATTTTGTGAGTATTCTTAGATGTTTTATTGAAGCAGCCGTAAAGGCAGAACCGTATTTACCAGGAAATACGATTTAGGCAATTTTGGCTAAAGACAGCAAAATCGAAAGGAGTTATAGATTATCACAAGTATTTTTGAAATTGGATATAAGGTAGACGACCTGTATTCCATAAATTGAGACTGTACGACCCGGCAGATCTTCCCACGAGTATGACTATTTCCGACAGACATAGACAGAACGGATCAGTGACGCCAAAAAACGAGCAAGACGGTGGCATGTCCGACTTTCATGATTAGTTGTATTTTCGAGATATGTTTTTCTAAATTTTAGAGTGGCTAGCCAATTACTCGTACACCCTAAAAAAGTGGCAACTATCTGTTTTGTGCAAATTAAAGAAATTTACATAGTTTTATACTAAATACTCGCAAATACATTTTTATTTGAAATGATGAATTTCAAATAATAGTACATTGTACAAACGTTGTTTACCTGTTAAGAAGCTTGAAAATAAAATAACCGTTGAAAAAAAAGCAAATATGGATCTCACTAGGAAAATCGCGAAGGACGTATTTTCTTGTTTTGAAGTAAAATACTTTTCTCTCAATATATTTCATGACCCATCACCAAATAAACATGAACGGTGCTCTTCAGGACTATCACACCGCCTACAATTTTTTAAACGAGCCAGTTAGCAAACTAAAATGCCGTGTGGTGAAATTGACGCGTGAATCCTATATTCGTATTTTAACATAAAAAAATATCAAAATATGCTCTGCTTTTACTGGTTCGACCAAAGACATCCAACCATGGTGTATCGTGCTTTTTGGCTACTCCTCAGCAGGCTCTAGGCTTGGGTCTCTCGAAAAACGACCGAAAGCATAGCAACTACACACTGTAAAAAGTGTGTGGTTTATCGAAATAAGACATCGCAAAGCTAAAATATAGTATTCATGTATTAATCTCATCTTGCTGTCTTGACTCACCCAAGAAATAAATGAGAGAGAAAGCACAGCTAATGATAATCAAAGCTTAAAAAACAGGTTTAAAGTATTTGAGGCTACCATCTACGAGTTCCAAGAACCATACACAATTTCGACACACTTATCGATATTAAATCGCAAAACAAGGAAAAAGGGTAAAGACGATACAGTGTTTCAGTGCCCAAAGCTGGAATTAATGGTTTGGACCTGAGTCTCTGCTTTTCCGGACTCTCTTATTACGAAACCTCTAGTCCATCACGACTAAGTAATGGTTCACCTAAAAGTTGTCTAATTCGCCAAGATTGTAATCAGTATTTTCTACCGTTCGGGTGGGCCCGGCACGGGTATCACGTATCTTGAAAAGTGACATTATGTCAATTTTTGTTGAGATTATGCTGTTTTTTTTTGATATTATGTAGGTTTTTCTCAAAGACGTTGACTTAGCACTTATTTGTACGTGTTGCCTAAACGTCACGAGGCTTGTTATCAATCTCTGGCTCTGATGTGATGTAAAATCTGCTTCTGAGATGGCATTACTGGAGGTCTAAGCTGTAAGTTGTATGTGTTGATGATAATTAGATTGGGTTCTTGTCTCAAATATACTTAATTGAGATTCAAAGCTAGAAATTAGTTGCGCATCCACTTTTTCTTATCCATTCTGGAAATTACCTATACAAATTTGGCTGAATTTCAAAAATGAGAGAGATAAGTAATTATATTCATTGTACACTGTCGAATTACAAGCTATATACATGCTACCAGTAATTACACACAACGCGGGGCGGTGACGATTTCCCGTAATTCTCCTCAGTTTTTCGTAATTTATAACTTTGAACATGAATTCTCTTCAGAAAGCACAACATAAAAATAACCCGTCGGGCACAGCCAATAGATATATTTCAATGGCATCATATTCACTAATGATTTTCTCACACATCAAATAACACTGATTTTATAATCATGCAGACCAATACACATAATCACACAGATGCGATCTTGCAATTCAATTAACTTTCTTTTCAGAGATAAACACTACAGAATAGGACCACTCAGCCTCATAAAACACATGCAACAATTAATGCGTGTAGTTTAGTTGAGTGATTTCTCCATAGATGGACGTTCACAACGACTGTTTGCGCCCTAAAAACTACCTCGTTTGCAAGATCACATCTAACGGGTTTTTTGACGTTTTATAGGTTTTTAACATGCTACGCGTGCGGGTCCTATATATGTCACTGCGCACGGGAACTAAATTGATGCAACAAAATGCAGGTTTTAAAAGAAACCTGTTGTATTTGACATCCGCGAACAACTATCTTCATAGCTTATCTCAGATATCCTCGCCTCGATTAATAATTCGGCTCATTATACTTCCAACGTTGATAGTGTTCACATTCTCGAGTCAGTCGTCATGATTTCTGTAACAAAATTTTTCAAATCCTGTAGGTCATATTGCACATTGCGTTACTACACATTTCTAGACAAGGCTGGTTTTACAATTTTTATTTAATAGTTCATTCTATTAATTTTGAAAAATTATGTTTAAAAATTTCATCATATTTTCTATAGTATACATCTAAACTCTTACCATCTCAAACACTTGGTGTAGACAGAGAAATTTTTCAGTTTTTTATACGGTCTGATTAGTTATTTTGGTTGCAGGTAAATCCAATCAGCATGGTTCTGAAGGTGGAAGATGACGAACCGTACGGGGAAACTAAGCCCATTTTGGACGCAGGTGGAACAAGTGACGCGGAAGACACTGATCTGAGAATACAAGAGGTGTATAAAAGTATTACTAGGTACGTGTTATGTGCAAACGATGCAATTCCTCCTCTTTCTTTTCCCTTTCATTTATTTCTATTTGGCTTTCATTGTTTCGTACAGACTTTGTCTGATATCTGGGTAATCCGACTGCTTTGACAGATAATGTCGTTTTATAAAAAAATACAAAATATAACAAAGTGGTAACATTTTACTTTCGACTTCACATGTTACAGGCACAATAGAATTATCTACGCTTCTACAGTCTTGATTATAATTGCAGGTACTGCTATTTGGTGAAACAATAAATAGTGTTTAGTGTTTTTTTAATCTTAATTAAGTTTCACTCTCTCTTGACTAAATTGGTTTCAAGATCTTTCTGCAATGTCATCAACACAGGTAAACTAGATAATATACATAAGTGCATGAAATATCATACTTATGCAATTTTGCATTGATGAATCAACTGATAACGGAACGTATTATAAAATAAATTCAATTATTTCGCTATTGTTCTTATCTACAGAACATGTTGATCTGATAGATCGCTTGGGATTAATGCGAGAAATAAAAATGATGTCAAGTGGGTTAACTATGTGCCTCTCCCACATTTTCACATAGCACAGAAACTGGGCGCAGTTTCAGGATATTAAGACGAAGTAGGTATCCCTGGCCTACAGAAACCGAAAAACAAACCCTTAAAGTTAATATGCAACAGTTATGTCGTGAGATATCAAAATTTGTAACGACTAGGATGACCAGTTTTGACTAATCTGTTTTCTGCACGTTGGTCACTGGAAATACTATTTTGAACAGTTCTTTATAACTATCACTATGTACTTTTCGGTAAAAAATAAATATAAAAGTCGACGACTTGCTCCTTTGAGATTAGGAACTAATGTCCCATTTTGAAGTCCTCTTCATCTTCTGCAGCTCTGCATAGACCACTTATACAATTATTTCGCAGATTTTTAAGTAAGTGATTTTTCCGACTTTAACGTTTAACAAAAAAATTAATCAGCGATATGTTTGGTACCTCTAAAACAGAGGTTCTCAAACTCGTCTACGGCCCCTTTCAGATTCAATTATTTTCACCCCGGGGGGCCGGATCTAAGATGGAAAACTGAAGAGCGTGGGGAGGCTGTCGGCTGCTGCACCGGGGCTTTCTAAGGACGAATGGCCTTATAACGATTGAACAGCGGCGGATGGTATGGACAATTGAAAATCAAAGACCGTGAGGGAGGAGGGGTCGTCTGCATCAGTATTTTTGAGAGCGAGAGCGAATGTTCTTGTGACAACTGAATAGCTGGAAACAAAAATTATCACAAGTCACAAAATCCTGATCATCTTCATGAAATGTTAGCTCTAAATGCCTACTGTGTGATAAGAAAATGTCTTCGTAGGTAGTACTATGTTAATCTAATTGACGCCATTCCCTTCTTCCAGGACAGTAAAGCTTCAATCAGGGATCATTTCACGGAGGAATTTCACAAAATCCCAAAATACAAGGTGGTCCCCGGGAGCGGGAAGTTTTAAATACTTTACGATTCTAAGGGCAATTTAGTTTAAATAAAATACATTATAACATGAATAAACTAGTCCTCCTATTCTCTGTATGCACTCTTGAATTCTTCCATGGAAATTTCTTCAATAATGTTTCTTTTAAGCTCCTTAATGGTTTATTAATGAACCCGTTTTGATTTACACCGAAAGTAATCGCAAGCAGTTAGGTCTTTCGACCTTGGCGGCCAGTTAATGTCTCCTCGTCTGGGAATAATATGTTGCGGACACGATCTTTGCAAGGAACTTAATGAGGCTCTCGTGGTGTGTGAAGTAGCCCCATCATGCTGGAACTGTTTGACTATTATGTGGAAATCTACTTAACTGGTTTATCATTCGGCATAACGCATCTACAAAAATCCCTATATATAATCCCCACTGAAGACATCGCACACCATACCGTCACTTTTGGGATATGTAATGGTTGTTCGTTGAATTTTGTATGGATGAAGATTGAGATCTTTATCAAAATTCGAAGTGAAGATGTCTTACAAATTCTCAATGCTTGGGCTCATTTTCGGGTTGAACATTTTAGACTGTGTTCCACAGATATTCTTACACGATCGATGTTTTTAGGCGTTCGTACACTTACTATTCAACATTGTTCGTCAGAGCGGTCCGGTGGACCTTTGCTCTTAGTTAAAAGTCTCGTCGGTCTGTTAGTCTGTCAGGTCCGGCTACCCAGATACCAAACATGTTTAAGGGGAAAAGGGAAAGAAGGAAAGAAAGGAAGGAAGAAATAGAGCAAAGAAAAGAAGTAAATCATTTGAAACAGCTTAAACATTATTGCTTTGACTACTCGAATAATTTTGTAATTCCAAAAAATAATTTTGATCGGTTTTGTATACTAAAGTAGTTTTGTCTGAATTCACAATTTAATTTTGATCACAGTGCGAGGCGCGGCCTGGTATGTTTGCGCACTTGCTCGACTGTGTAGTCTACTGAATCACGGAACAGAGGGGTTGCTGTGCGATTCGGCTTGATTATAACCTGTTGTTTTACGTAATCCCTTAGATATGGGATATCAAGATCTCTGTAAATGGTTCCATTTGACACGTACCAAGGGGCGTTAGTGATTGTGCATAAGATTCTGTTTTGCAGGACTTGCAGTCTCTGCATGTGCGTCTTAAAAAGAAAACACCAAGCCGCGTATGCGTAGGTGATTGCGGGTCTTACAACCATCTTGTATAACCGAATCTTGTAGATCAAACTCAATTTTGAATTTCTGCACAACAAAGGATAAAGCTGCCGAAAGGTAATTTGGAATTTTGTTTTCAAAATATCAGTATGTTTCTGCCAGGCCAACCCCTTGTCAAGGATGAGTCCAAGGCACCTGACAGATTGTTCCCATGGTATACGAGTTCCATTCACTGATATCTCTGAGGGGGCAGCGCGACGTTTGTTAGTATAGATAGTTGGCGTTTTCGAAGTATTAATTTTGATCAACCACCGATCCGCCCACTCCAACACTTCCTCCACTGCACTCTGCAGCGTGTCCTGAACTAGGTTATCATAACAAGACTGAGCTAGCAGTGCAGTCTCATCACCATATAGATAGACTTCACAGTTGATGGGGCATGGGACGTCATGTATATAAAGTAAATAAGTGATTGGTCCTAACACCGAACCCTGAGGAACACCGGCTCTTACGGGCCGTGTCGTTGACAACACATTGTTAATTTTGATCCGAAACTTCCTTCCTTCTAGAAAATGCTTTTTATATATCTAAAAGCAACATAGCAGTACTTTTGTTCAGGGTGACCCCCCTGGTTACGTACTCCACCAGTCTAACTGCCTGTAGCTCCGTAATATGCCAGACCGAAAGCCAAATTGCACGTCAGGAATCACATGACGATCTGACGAGAAATTCTCAAGATGACGATAAATCACTTTTTCAGCGAGCTTAGAAGGAGCTGACAGCAGGCTAATGGGACGGTAATCCTGAGGGAATATCGAACCTGCCTTCTTTGGGAACATGATGACTTTAGCGATCTTCCACGCCTTAGGAAAGTACCTAATGAGTTCTGAGCACTGCATTGATTATCCACCAGATACGTCAAGGCCTTGGGCGAAACCAACTTCAGTGCTTTGTTGGTAATTTGATCCTCTTCAGGTGCTTTACGCACCTTTAGGTCCTTAATGTGGTCTTGGAGCTCTGCTGGTGTGCAAAACGGAATCTTAGAGGATTCCGTTGATGTGTTATGCTGAGATTCATCTGAAGCGTCTTCCGTAGAAGAATCTTCTGAAAAGGAGTCACGGATGTTAGCACTGACGTTGTTGTCGCCATTCGCTCTGAAATATCTCCTGACAGATCTTACAATTTGTCGTTCCTTGTCAAGGTCATTGTCCAGATCATAATTGGGAGAGAACTGCCTTTCCATGACGTCAGCAAAAACCTCCAGTTTATCCTCAGTCCTGAAAACTATACCTCCAGAACCATGAATATGTGATAGTTGTTCTTGCCTTCCGTTTCTGAGCGATTTTGCCACTTTCCAGAGAAGATTACTTGATTCAAGCATCCCCGCCAGAAAGTCGCTCCACTGCTCATTACGGAATTCATGGAGTGCATTTCTTACTTCATGGACGAGATTCGTCGCTTTACGAATGTCATCAGGATGAGTGTTAATCACAAATGCACTCCATGATTACTAAATGACATACAGTGACAGATAATTTCAAAAAACAATCCATAGTCAACTATGCATAGTTACGGAATAACAACATTATCAAAACTTCCCGGTCCCGGGGACCACCTTGTATTTTAGCTGAAAATGATTCCGTTCCTCGTAAGAAAGAGATTACGTGGAAGTACTGAGTCAATCTATTTGACACTATTTATTCATTTCAGTACAATTAAGACTGATCCGCTAACGATAGACAAGCCAGCGGTCGCCCTAGATCTCTTCTCCACAGCTGTGCACGTGAAGAATGCGGCGTTAGCGAAGCAATGTATCGAAATCCTTAACAATCTCCTAAACAAAAGAGATGCGCTTCTGATCTTGAACCATCTGTCTAAATGCAGATCGGATACGACAGGCGACACGTGTGATTTGGAACCGTCTGCACCTCCTATAGAAGAAGCTCCTGATGAAGATTGGGTACATGATTTGGTAGACAACCTTAGGTATGACAAAAGTTGACAACGGTAATATTAATCTAATATTGATTCATAAGGCAACCCCCACTTTGTACTCCACCTATCCTGTTGTAACTGTGAAGAAAAAATATTAGACCATAAAGGAAATTGTAACAGATTTTCATAATATTTTAGGAACAACTGTCTGTTAGAAATCGACAAGCATGCCGACTACGTGCTGAAGCAGAAGGAATTTTTGGAATTGGTATACGCAGATGTGCTCAGTATAACCACAAGGGACACGTTGCAAGTTTCAAGTGAGATTATAGTATACAGTGCTATCATGAGGTGGTGTATAGAAGAGTGCAGAAGAAGGACCTTGCAGACGCAGAAGGTCAATTTAAAGGCTGTGCTGAGGGATCTCGCCTATGCTCCAAGGTAAGTCACTAGTCAGAAAATAGTAATTTATGTAGAAATCCATTGTCTGGCCGAGTCAAAGCACTTACAGGATGTTAATTAGGTATAAACCATAAATCTAACACAATCTAACAAGTAATTTTAAGACAAAAAGTACATATGAACATAGGGCCGAAAATTTTTCGTTCTTTTCGATACAGGGTGTTAAAATACAAGAAAATGGTTTTTCGTAAATTTCTTAAATACCCCGTAGCTAATTTTGTTGCAATTTTTCGGTAGTATTTGTAATATTAAGGAGCTAATTTAGCCTTAACTTGATTAAAGTTATTGAGTTCAGTGGCGTCTCGAAGTTTCTTTGGAAATTATTATTATTATAATTTTTTGTTACTAATTATGTAGCGACAAAAAATAAACAGAAAATTAAATTACATTGCATTAACATCTAAACTAATGAATTTTACTGATTTTCAAAAGAAACGTTTCTCCATATTCCTTTTGGGGAGCAGGGATATGCAATTAAGTGGACTTCTTTTTTTCACGAAAATGATACGAAAGAAATTAAGATACAAAAAAGTTGTGTTTCTATTTGCTTAATCCAAAGAACATAATAAAAATTACACAAAAGTCAGTAGCGTATAATTTTTTGTCACAGATATTCATTTAGGTCTCGCTCGAGACGCCAGTGGACTTAATAATTTGAATCAATTTAGGACTGAATTAGCTCCTTAATGTTATAAATACCACCGCCATATTACAACGAAATTAGGTGAAGGATATTTAAGATATTATATATATATATATATATATATATATTATTATTTTTTAAATTTTAACACCCTGTATCTTGAAAATGGAGAATTTGCGGACCCATATTTATATGAACGTTTCGTCTTAAAATAATCCAAAGAATCGTCTTTTAAATTTATGGTACATACTTAAGTAACCCTGTATATGTTTAAGCTAGCCTAAACTCGCGGCTCTGCTCGCGTGGAAGTTTGAATAAGATTAGTTTAAGGGAAGGAAATGTGATATACAAAGTAATGCAATAGTTACTTTTTTTACTAAATATTTTGATGCAATGATATATAAATCTAAATGTCTCTCCACTCTGTCAACATTACGTCTGAACAACAATATGAAGAGACGTACTTTTTTGTACATTTGAAACGGTAGGGAATTTGTCTATATTTACAGGGTGTTTATGGAATACTACTAATACTAATAACACCCAGAAAACTTGACAACCACGCATTCTTTGTAAAAAAGGTTCCAAGAAGAGTTTTAGGATAACGGAAGTAATTTGACAATAACCATATTAGGCCTATAGGCTTGTTATCCGTGCTTTAAAAAATTGTCGAAAAAATTGTATTATATCATGTCTTCTAGCAGCTGGCTTTTCAGTCTTTTGTGCATATGCACGAATCTTAGTGAATGCACGATGCAAAGGCACTATTTGTAACTTTTCTCACTTAGGTCGGACTAGTGACTCAGCGCTTCCGCGCCAGACACCGCATGACAAATTCTATTAAGCCGTTTAGGCTGTAGCCTGAGAAATGCATAAGTTTTTTTGCCATGATAAAAGGTAGCCTAAAATCAAATCCAAGCGAATAACCAAAATTTCTGTGTTATGAACCGCGGTTATAATATGGTTTAAGATGACACACGGGTTGATGACTTCAGTTACTCGAATCGCTTGAATGCGTTGGTTTTAATCGCGGTTTTGTTGAAAGTCGTTTATTTTAGAAAAGCGCGTATATAATTTCTGATTATTTTTATTATCACTTAATAATCGGTGCTTTTTCGTCTACAACAGTGTATGGAAAATTTAAAAAAGGAACCTTTCATAATATTAATGGGAGAAACAGTTTTTTTTTCAGAAAATAGTTTTTAATGATGGAACCATGGCTTTGTAGCTATGATAACTTTCAATTCTTTGAACTCTTCCGCATGTCAAAGAAAACATTTATTGATTCAGCAGGAATGATAGGAAAAGCGATAAAAAAGATATTAGCAAAACCGTATACAGGTGGACATTATCCAGCGAGCTTATATGGCCATATTTTAATATTCTTGTGGTATACGGCTACTCAGGATACTTTGTTGAGCATAGGAACTAGATTTAAAGTGTCCCCAACAACAGTAATGAGTATAACTAATAAGGTATCATGTTTCCCAAAAATGAAGCTGAAGTACAACAAAAATATCCAATACCCGGCAAAATTCTAACTTGTCACATTTCAAATAAGAACCAGAAATATAACACTACTTCTGGTCTCCTGAGTTGGGTAAATACTACAATTTTGCGGTGGTAACTATGACATCTAATAACTGATTCATGACGTCACGGATCTTATAACCAAACTGATAACCAGACTCGCTTGAACGGATCGGTAAATAAGAAACCAAAATGGTAAATACCATTTCGACTGGTTCAGCCATTTTGGCGTAACAAACATCCGCACTACCTGTCCTTAGGTTCTAAACAAACAATAACACTTCCTTGAGGAACACTTGCATTTTACAGTAGACTGCAACAGTTGTCATCACAGGCTATCATTGATGTCAGATTGCTGGTCGAATCAATTTAGTCAAATAGTGAGTAATGCAAAATAGTAATGCAAATTGTATGGCTTTTAAATTTTATACTGAGTAACTTACCCATAGAGCGGATCTGAATGAACCAGCAATGTAGCATGATGTAAGGTACATACGTTTGATAGTTTGAGTGTATTTATACGGCTTGAAAAATATTTTACTCAAATCTGCTAATTAATTGACAGTTTTCCATAAAGAATACGGTGTGTAGTGGAATAAAGAGTAATTCTCAGAAGTACAAAAGAAGAAAACATTTTTGAATCTTCTCGTCAATCTTGCTGGCATCGATGACTACTGTTGCAGCCTACTGTGAAATGCGAATGTTAAATCCTCCCTTCAACACTCCTTCTTTCTTTAAAATCCAAGGAGACATCATTTCTCAAACGGCACTGCAGCCTCAAGGAACGTCTATATAGTTTATTCACTGAAACAAAGCAGTGACGTCATATTTAGTAAATTTGGATGCCAACCTTAATGCAAAATAGATCCTAAATTGGTACATATAGTTTGAATTTCCCGGGTACATCTATGTTGGTGACATTTGTGGTTTATTTTCGTTATTTTTGCCTCCATATTTGCATTGTTATTTTATAAGCAGTTTTTTTTCATAACTTTGAGGTGTCCTTTTGAGCATTTTCCTAAAATGCCGAAACCTCTGGGTCGGCAAGCAAAAGAATTCAACATTTCTTTGACGAAATATTTTGAGACCAAATGAGATCATGGAGCTCCATTATTTGCCTTTACAGTCCGTAAGAGACGTATTAGGTAGTAAATAGAATTTATACTAGCTCTGGCGTTTACAAAACATACGCTCCGTAAGTAGTAGTTTTAATTAATGTGGCAACCATGCGCGTCACTGTCATTATTTGACGTGTGTCGTAACTGCTTTGATTCAGTGAACAAACTGTAGATGTGACCATCAAACAATTAAGATGAAACAAAATAAATAAATTAACCGTACTATATACCGGTTCTTGAAGGCGTTTGTTCTTGCGATCGTTGAGCATACATTAATTATGCATAGCGGGCTTTAAAGTTACATTATCGTTCCAAGGCGTCAAGAAGTCAGGGCTTAAAAGTAGGATACCCGTAAAATCTATTAATAAAGTAGTCTTTACTGTCGGATCGTAAGTAAAAAATTACTATAGCTAAATGATATCCCATATACAAATATAATTGTCTTATTATTATAAGGACATAAACGTTTTATAAAGGTCGGCTAATGATCGATTTCCTGATTAATGCTATTTGGATGTATCTAAAGTGTGCTAAGTGCTGCAAAATGAAATCTTATATCGGGCTGGCTAATAAATAATCAGCCATACACAAAACTCCAAAAATATTTATTTATCTATGAAATAATAAATCATTATAATAACCGTCCTTATCCATTAAGCAGATCGTAGAAGGTTTTTCTCGAAAATGATTGCCGAAAGATAGGAGTAAGCTCAAATCTGTTGGGGCTAAGTCCGGTGAATACGGAGGGTGTGGCATTATTTCGCAGTTCAGCTCAAGTAGCTTTTGTGGGGTATTCTTAGACCAGTTTTTTCAGTTGTAACATCACAAGCAGGATAACTCAGGTATAAAAGCAGCTTTGCCGCATCAACGGCTTATGGATTGTTAATGAGAACTTGAAACACAAACTGACTGGAAACTGATAATGATGATAATTACCTTAATTTGAAAGTTAACTAGCGATTGAAAAACCGGGCCTAAGCAATGTGAGATCTGGCACTGTCATGGAGAAAAAATATTTTGCCACGTTACGAACGCTTACGATGGAGATGTTCAAGTTCATTATAATATACTATACTTGTTGCAGTAATCGTAATCCCACGACACGATAGTATCACCTAGCGGTGATGAAGATCTTTATTTGGTGTATATTTGTCTCGTTCGTTGGGACCCAGTCGCTGATTGCGTGTATAGTTAAAGCAAACTATCAACACATCTTGAAAACTAAATCCGCATGGTGGCAGCACAAGTCCCAAATGTTCTATCAAACCGGTAGCCCATTTTTCGTCTCCACTAAAAAGGTGGTCTAGTCATTAAAAGTACGAAGAAACAATAAAGGATGTACGCAAACCTCTGTTCGAAAAGTAAGTTGATCTTTGCTCAACTGCTGGGGTACCCAAACAACAAACTTGAAAGGCTTCCCTAAAGAAAACAAATGATTTCATATCGTGCCATAACAACATGCGCACCCGTATTTCGTAGCTCAAAAAGTGACATTATATTGATTTTTAATGAAATTATGAAGGTTTTTCCGGATAAATGTGACCTTGTAGTAGCTGGGCTTATTGCTCAAACCTCATGACACTTGAGCTCTATGGTTTAGCATTGATGCGATGTTACATCTGCTTCAGAGATGACACTAGCTGGGACTATTTATAGCTTCAATCGCTTAAGCTGTAAATTAGTCGTTG